CCCTTTTAAAATCCCAAAGTTACCTCAAAGTAAAGGTATATAAAAAAGAGACCTTGTTATAATGCTTGAGTAAGAAAAAGTACCTAATTTGAAATGAAGTGGTGGTGGTAAGAGCATGCATTGAAGGCAGGCCTGTGGGAGGTACTAGGGCAAAATCACAAAAAGTGTTCCTGGGGTCAGTCTACTCTGCCAGTGTCTGTATGTGACATTACATGTGATGTAGGGCCTGGACCTTTATTGTGTAAACATCAACTAGGATACTGTCTTATATAAACTATATCTGTATCAGTCAAGCACAGGAGTATAAAGTATCATCTTTCAAAAAGGATTAGACAAAAATGAAGAAGTTCAGCTCTGAACAAATTAAGATTCGTCACCCTCTCCAAGGTGTGTGTGTTATTATTTCCATTCTGACAGCTTACATTCCATGCTAGCATTATATGAAAGCATCGTAAAGTATGGGAAAGACCAGAAATACTTAACAAACTAGTTTAAAATTTTATTAAGTTATTTGTTGGCTCTTTAGGAAATGGAGACTATAGATATTTCTTTAAATCCCTTTACTTTACAATTCATTGAACTCTATTACTCCCTATATATATTTTTTCATTATATATCTAAACAACTAGATAAGCATAGTCGGAGGGAAAAACTTTTCTCCTGGAGATCAACAATGACAACAAAAAGTCCCTGGAAAGTCAGTATTTCAAGGAACTTAAGATGGCATCTTTCAAATCTTGTCGTTTGACATTGGGCAATAAAATCTGAAGCCCATTCCAAAGATGCCCTAAGTCCTCAGTCTAAAAGTAATTGCCCTTCCTTGTCCTGTATGTATATATCATCAGTACAGCCAAGAATGAGTTGCAGCGAGGCCTGGACCACCGCCAAGCAATTGATTATTAGCCATTAAAAAGGAAATGTTTACTTATTCATGGCAACTTGGTTGCAGAAGGAAAGGCAAAGAGGTCTGATTTTAAATGCTGCTTTTTCTTTCTATCCTAAGTCTGATCAAGATCATTCACTTCTTGGAGGTATCAAAAGCCCATTTTTATTTTTCCTTTTGCTATTTTAACCAGAATACTGATAAAAAGGGGAGAGCAGTTGCTATGAGGCAAAGAAAAATGTCCTGGCAGTTGAGGGCCCTCCATCTATCAAGGGGAATTTGCAATGTTGCCTCTCTTCAATACTGTATAGATTTGCAGGATTTTGTGAAACACTTAACCAAAATGGAAGGATTTAAAAACGGAATGCAAGATATAGATGCAATCATTTCTTTTAAAAATCAAGATACTTTAGTTTTATTTCAGAATTTTCTAGTCTTAAATTCTTAAGCACGCAGCAGTGGTGATCATCTTGGATAATACTTTTGAAAAGGCGATTAATGCACACTGCTTAAATACATTCACTATAGCGCAGATGTCTAACGATTAAACACTCTTATTAGGATTGAGATGCACTACATCTAATTACAGGGAAACAAATACTTACCTAATTAAATAATACTATTCCTAAGCCATGTTGAGTTGCAAAATTAGTTCAAATGTCCAGAACACCAAACAATATTTTAAAATCTAGAAAGGATATTCAGTTAGATGGTTTACTTGTGATACTAAGAATCACTTATGAATTGGAGGCAATTTATATAAAGATTTCCAATATGTGTAAAACTTATTTTGCCTAGTTTTTCCAATTGACCCCATTTCAAAATAATTTTCTCCTTCCACGTCTTTGAGTCTATCTGATATGATGAGGCGATAAAGAAAGCACCTTTCACTAATAATTCTGGCTGTTTACCTCCTTTCCTCCATTACTTCAGAAGGCACAGTTTGCATGGAACAAACTCCTGGAGTCCCCAGGCTCTGGCTCTTAGAGGTAATTTAGATAAAGTCCCAGAGCCCAGTTGAGAGGAAGATTGGACTAGCCTGCAGAGGCATTGAGGAAACAATGACACAGGGAAGTTGCAATGCTTTCTAGAACCAGGAGGTACAGAGTTTTCCTGGGATATTTAAAACACAGACTGGGACCCAGGAACGCTGTTGCCAGGCCAAGAAATGTAAGGCTAGAAGTAATATTTGGAGCTAATCCCAGAGCTAGCTCCTTCTCAGAGCACCACTGCTAGATGTGTGTGTGGGGGGGGGGGTGGATATCTCTTCTTTGGGAGCCAAATACTAAGAGTAAAAGCAAATATTTGATGCTGAAGAGCTCTTAAGAATTGAAGAGTGCCATTTACTTATATCTACATGTCAGTGTGGGCTTAGGATGTTAAATAGATTAAAAGGCTAAGAGAGGTCAGTCACTCCAGGAAAGACTCTTCTTCTACATCTCCTGACTTGGTTCTCTGGTTCTCTTTCCAAAACTGTTATCAACCTCACTCCAAAGGCGGGTCCTTTGGAAACTCAGAAGATGGCATGTCCTCTCCTAGAACATTCTGGAGAACGTGGAGTCAAGAGTCCTGGGGATGAGTACCAGAAAGGTGGGGGGAGGGGGACTTGTGTGGGTGGATGGGGACCAAAGTTGCTGGTTAATTCAACAAAGATAGTTTTAGAAAAATTCCAGGGGTATGCAATCATAAAACTGTCAGGGTCCTTAGAAGTTACTATATCTATTGTCTTCTGTTTCATATAGTGGGGGGGGGGGGGGGGATGTTCAGAGTGATGAGGCCATTAGAGCTAGTTAAGAGCTGGGCTGGGATACCAACTGACTCCCAGGTCAGTGCTCCTTCTCCCTGACACAGCCATGAAGCTCAGACCCTGAGTGAGAGTCTATCCTAATGCTTCCCTAGGATGGTCTTTGCCATGCCCTCCTTCCACCTGTCTGAGAAAATGGGCTAGCAAGAGGTTGCCAGGCATCTGGCTCTATCTGGAGAGAAGTCCAAGAAGCCCTGGGCTAGTCCATGACCTGCCCCATCTCTGGGACTCTGGAGTTTAGGTGCTGGGGCGCAGTGGGCACCGAGTCTGGGTTCCTGCTGCACCCTGTCTACTCCTGGCTACCTCTGTCGCCCATCTCAGAGAGGACAGCCAGGTCATTTCAATTTAATCTTATTTAAAAAGACATAACTAATAAATCTATTGCCGGGGCGGCAGAGAGACGGCCAGCAGAGTCGATCGTGCTCCCAATCCCATTGAACCCCATTGAAAACCATGACAACACGGGACAAGCTCGGATTTATCCCGGCGTGCTAAAGAGCTTTGTGAGCAGGCGTCAATCACGCATTATTTCGGACTGAACAAATGCAAAATCTTGACTGGAACAAATGCTTCCAACAGGTCCGGGGCGTCGAGCTCCATTTCCCCTTTGTCCGCGGCCTAGCAGTTGGCCTGTATTGGGGTTGCCTCCGCCCGACCACCCAGCGCGCTGCGCAGCCCGGGGCGCCTTGGGCACGCTTGACAGGGAGGCTGATGGGGAGGGTGCACCGGGCCAGCGAGCCCGAGCCCCTGCACAGGAGCCAGGTCCCAATTAAGCTCAGGTGGAGCTAGGATTTCGGGTTGGGCCACCCAAGAGCCGCGTCCCTCACTAGAATTTAGCAAGCAAATATCCAAACCACGGCGTCAGAGGAGAGGCCTCTGAAACTGCCCCCAGTGAGTCCTAGACCGAAGCGGGACCACGAGGGGAGCCATGGGCCAACAAAATGTATCCGCGCCGGCTGGCTCCCTGCGCCTTCTACCTTGATCATTCTCTCCGGCTGGGGCTGTGGGAACCGGATCCGAGATCGCAAAGAAACCCCGGGCACGCTGTCTTTTCTGCCCGGCGGGCCCAGTCCTAATTCTCCAAATCGGTCAGGTACCGGACCAGTCCCAGCGGCTGCCTGGAGCGGGAAGCCCAGGCCAGAGGCCTGCCCTGGGGCAGAGGCCGTATCCCCGGGTACTGGGCCTGACGTTGAGGCCACATAGCTGAAGCTCACAAGTGGCGCCAGAGGGTCTGGCGACGCCAAGGAGGCCGCAAGGCCTTCACGGGCTCCGGGTGAGACGCCGCCGCCCGTGGGCCCTAGAACCGGCCTGGGCTGGGGTCTGAGGAGCGCCGCCTCTGGGGCTGAGCCCACGACCCGCAGCAGCCGGGCGGGGCTTGGCTAAGGAGGGTGGAACGAAGGACGTGAACAGCTTGGCCCGATTCTGCCTCCGTTTTGCCAGTCTGGGGAAAGGGGCGCAGAGCTGGGGCTCCTGTATTACTGCCAGCCCTTCCCCAGCACCCCTTGAAGTGGGGGGAGGGGGGCGTTTGGGATGTGGTTCCTAGAGGCTTTCAATAACCCTCGGCCCAGATGCCGGCGGGACCAGGCCACTCCTCTGTGCCCGCCTGCAATTTCTCGCCTCTGAATCCTTAGAGGGGCCCAAACCAAAAAGAGAAAGAGCGCGCCAGAGTTTAACGCCGCCTTGTAAATCACTTTACGGATAATTGCGGGAAACGAACACTCTAGCAAACAAGCTCGAGAAATAAAGCAAACAGGGAATAAATTCCTGGGTGCTCATAAACCCACCCATGCCGCCCCCACCCTAGCCGGCGCTCCTGCAGGGCCAGGCCCCGTGTCAGCCCAGGAGGAGGAGGAAGCTGGGGCTGAGGCAGGCGGGTGGTGACCACCGCTCGCCACCCAAGATGTTATTCATTGGTAACAATCCCCATTATCTGTCCCCACTTTGGGCTAATCAGACAGAATCGCTAATGCCGTAGAGCTGCTTCCTGCCGCCTCTGGGAGGTAACAGGGCACCGAGGGGCGGGGGACTGGACGGGGCGGGGGCGGGGGCGGAGGTTGCACCTTCCGGGCTCGCTCCGTCTTTGGTCCAGCACTCATTCAGGTACTTAACACCCTGCATACCCGGACCTCGGCTTTCAAAGCATCCCGGGTGGGAAGAGCTGTTTATATAAACAGAGATTCCGCTGTAAGCGCGCTAATATCCCGGCAGCCAGCGCATGGCGTGCGCCTCTGGCTCCCACCCGTAGCAGCGGCGTCCCCGGCCGCCCCTCATTTCCCAGCCTGCCCCGCCCCCGCCTCCATCCCCTCCTTGGCCATGGCCACCTCTGGACGCCTCAGCTTCACCGTGCGCAGCCTCCTGGATTTACCCGAGCAGGACGCACAGCACCTGAGGAGGCGGGAGCCGGAGCTACGAGCTCCCGGGCTCGGCCCCTGCGCCACCTGGTTGGAATCCGAGCGCAGACACTACCCCTGTGAGTAAGGCGAGGACCACTGCGGGAGCGGGGAGAGGGGAGCAGAACCACGCGCCCGACCGATGCGGGACTGGGAAGTCGAAAACAGTCTTTGCCCCAGAGGCTCTGACTTCCAAAAACCCCTGTGCCATTCGTGACCTACTCAGCACATCCTGAGAGCAGATCCTTGCACCTGGCACTGACGCCCGGGATCTGGGTTTCTGTTTCTAGAGGTCACAATACTTAAATATTAAAGAAATGGCCTTTAAATGTCTGAAAACACGGCTACGTTCCCAGGCCTCGGTCAGGGATGGGCAGCAGTGGCGAACCTAGCTCTCCAAGCCTTTGCAAACCTCGGCAAACTATTGCAATAGACCTGGAGGTGGCCTGCGTTGGTGACCCAGTTTGCGGTAAATTCGTCTGCTAGCAAGCGACCAGTGTGGACTTGTTTTAAGAGGGTCCTGGTGAGTTTCTTAGGAGGCGCGGTCTCCGGTTATGGTATAAATGAGGTCCCTGAATTTGGAGAGGTGGGTGTCCGGATGTGGGCCCAGGGAAGGAAATGGTCGCAGCCCTAAAGCCGCGGGCGAGTGGCGGCGCCCTCCGGCCGGTGGCTCCACGCGCGCGCGCGCGAGAGAGAAGCAGCCGGCGCGCGGAGGGGCCGGCGTCTCATCAGGCCGTGTCTCCCTTGCCGCCCCCAGTCTCGGACGAGAGCAGCCCAGAGACCAGCCCGCCCGACTCGTCGCAGCGGCCGTCTACTGGGCCGGTGTCTCCCGGCTCAGACGCTGAAAAGAGGAAGAAGCGTCGGGTGCTGTTCTCCAAGGCGCAAACGCTGGAGTTGGAGCGACGCTTTCGGCAGCAGCGCTACCTGTCCGCGCCCGAGCGCGAGCAGCTGGCGCGCCTGCTTCGCCTCACGCCCACACAGGTCAAAATCTGGTTCCAGAACCATCGCTACAAGCTGAAGCGCGCGCGCGCCCCTGGAGCGCCGGGGGCGACGGAGTCGCCGGACCTGGCAGCCGCCACCGAGCTGCGCGCCGCACCGGGCCTGCTGCGCCGCGTGGTGGTCCCTGTGCTGGTGCGCGACGGGCAGCCTTGCGGCACCGGCGATCTGAGCACGGCCTCCGCCCAGGACAAGAGCGGCGCGTCCCCAGCCGCCTGCCCTTTGCCAGGCTACGCCGCCTTCGGGCCTTGCTCGGCTCTCGGCCTCTTCCCGGCCTATCAGCACTTAGTGCCCCCAGCCCTGGTCTCCTGGAACTGGTGAGGCCATTGCGGGGCGCGGGCACCTGGGGCTACCACGGACTTTGGAGTGGCTCTGTGGCCGAAGCACAGCTGGAAGCTGAGACCCGGACAGTTTCCCCGGCCCCACCTCTCTGCTGGCCCCACCTCCTTCCGCGCAGGGGTCCCTGCCCCGCCCTTCCCAGCCGCTGAGCAGGGAATTTCAGCCAGCATTCCCTCCTTTCCTTTTCCCTCGACCGCCAGCCCCAGAGCTAGATTTTATTGCTTAAACCTTATTTGTATATTTTAAAATAGCTATTTGTATGGGAAGCAACGTATTTTTAAAGAAATAGAATATTTTTCCTCTTTGTGGTGAGAGAATAAAATGTGGAGGGTTGGGTCCCCTGAGCGCCTGCCGGCGCTGTGCTTTCCGGACCCAAGTCCAGGGCTCTAGTCCACTCTCCCCATCCCGGGTTGGGTGGAAGGGCAGGTCCCAGGCCCGATGCAGCTTTAGGAAGATATTGGGGGAAGGGGTGGAAGGAGGCATGTGCAGGGAAGAAGCCAAGGGAACCCTGAGATCCCCGACAGCGGGAAGGTGGCGGGGAGATGAGTTGGAGGCCCCTCTGGACTCCCGAATCTGCTGGTGTTTCAGACACCAAAAGTCAACCCAGTTGGCCAGGGTAGGACATAATAAGCTTCCCCACAAGGACTCTCTGGAGACGTGCCAGGTGAGCTGGGGGTAGAGCTTACTGCTTTGGAACAGCTCAGGCCTGGTGGCAAGCTATCCTTTTCTGGACCCAAGGAGCAGCCACCCGAGCACCCAGAGAATTCGTAAATCCCAATTAAGCCTGCGAATGCCTAGCTTGGCATCTGTGATTTCCCCCCTCTTAGCTCTACACCTGGCTGAAGTGGGATGGGGAGGCGGGTAGCTTGATGAAGAAATCAAAGAGTGGTGGGGAAATGACCCTCCTCAGGGCTGCCAGATGAGGGAAGATGGCTTTGGAGACCCCGAATGGGACGACATCTGTGTGGGATCTGCTGGTGGGTCTCATTTCACCCGAGGTCCCAATGCACTCTAAGCTCTGGAATCTAGGGTTCCACCCTTGGAATTTGGAACTTGCCTTGGGCTCCGTATGCGGAGCCACAGAGGTCCCTATGCAAGTGTTTACCCCTCGGAGAAGTTAGGGCCTGCCTCCCTGGTGCCCACTGCCAGGAGGTGTGCTTGAGGAGAGTAGGTTCAGGCATCCGATCCAGAGAAGGGAGCAAGGGCTCAGTGAGGTCTGTGAGGCAGAGACGCTGGGCCAGTTCCAGACCCCCTTTTTCTCCCCTCCCCCCCAGGAGGCAGGGTAGCTGAGGCAGGGTTATCACCTGAAATTTTGTGGGGTGGGGAGATAGAAGACAGAGGGGGAAGGGAGTGGGGTGTTTTGGTCTCAGCTGCTGGCCACCTTGCCTTCCATATGGATGCGGTTATCTCCGAAGAATCTCGATCCTTAAACCTCCTTTTGTCTTGGAAACTGAAAAGGGCATTGTCAGGCCTGAAAAGGACCTAGACAAAATCCTCACTGTTTCAATTCAGGACTCTGTTTAATCAGTCCCTGGTGACAATGTCGTGGGTGTTAGAGAGGACAATAGTATCTTTTTAAATCTTTTTAAACCTTGTGGCCTTCAGGAAGACAAAGGGCTTGAATTTTATGGGCTTACAACTTCAATTAGAACAGTGCCAGTGTGCATGGGAGATTATCAAATTTGTATCATAAAACCTCTTTCTAATAAATGATTGCTGGGGAGGGAGCCTGGACATTTTAAGACATATATTGAAAACCACTATGGGGGCTTCCCAGTTAGCCCTGGCAGAGCAGATGAGAAAGAGAAGGGGGAAAAGATTTCTGAAGAAGGCCCTGGTTGGGACTTGCCCCTGTGGTTAGCTGGCTGGGTGCTTGGCTCTTCCGTGCTCTTCCTCCAGAAGGAGTGTTTTCTCCAAGATTGGAGGTAAAGATCTGTAACTTTGCTTTCTGCTATTAGTGGTGGCAAAGACCCGCACATTTGGGAGAAAGTGCAAACTCATCAGCTGCTGTTTCTTGTCTCTTCTTTTCCTGGACTTACAGAGGAAGTAGGTCTTGGGGTGTGCAAAGTGGAGAGAGCCTATTGAATATGAGGTAGGTCCATACTGAGGGGTCTGAATCATGAAGAGACCCTTTTCCCAGGAGGTTCTTTGGGAAATCATGTTCTCAGCTAAATTCATCTAGAGGTCCAACTCTGATCAGAAAGTCCTGCTTCCCGGTGAGGTGGTCAAAGCCATAGCAGGACCGCCCACCAGCAAGCCAGCTGGTGTCCCGGGCAGGAGGGGGGCAGAGCTCTCCTATGACATTAGCATTAGGAGCCATCATATAGAAACTGTTACTTGCTTCCTCTTGCTCCTTTTCTTTAGGCCTGGCCTTTTAGAGAGGAAAAACCGCAGGGAAGAGTTAAAAATATATTCCCATCACCACTGACCCATTTTAGAGACTCAGGCTGTCATTTTTCTTCTGTTCTTACCTGAGATAAGCTGTGAAAGATAAATGTCAGTTTTCTGTGTGACCTAAAAGAGCAGTTCTTCTAGGTGCTGACAAGAGAAGTTAAACCCAAGGCTTCTCTACAGGCAGCTGGGAGAACAGTTAGGATCTCGCTCCCTAGATGAGAGTATTTTAAACCTGCTGCCCATCACCCATATCACAAAGGGGATTCACACTCAGTTTTGAAACTTACTGTGTTCCAGGTATTGTTCTAGACACTTTCACAGTTCATCTCACAGAAACATATTGTATTTGTATATGTAAACATATACATATTGTATATGTAATATGCCCATTTTACAGATAGAAGCAGAGGCTCAATGAGTGGGAGTAAGTGACTTGTCGATAGCAGTTGTAAACCTCATAAAATGTCATCATCATCCTTTGTTTAACCCACATTTAGGCATCCTGCAAACTGCCCTTAAGGAGGACAATTGTCATTTTGATGTGACAATGTATATACTACGCAACCATAATAAAATAGTCCTTTTTTTATTTAAAGATTTTATTTATTTGAGAGAGAGCAAGAGAGGGAGAGAGAGCCCAAAGAGAGAGGGAAAGGGAGAAGCAGACTCCCCACTGAGCAGAGAGCCCATGTGGGACTCCATCCCAGCAATGCACACCCCCCCCACCTGAGATCATGACCTGAGCTGAAGGCAGACACTTAACCAACTGATCCACCCAGGTGCCCCCATAAACTAGCCTTACAGATACTTCAGGGCCACTCTCAGAAACTGATCACATGATATCACAGCAGTTTCTAAAACTTACTTATGTTTCCTGGATACCAGGCAATATTCTAAGTTCTTTTACTCATTAAACTTGTTCAGTTTTCACAACGACCCCATGAGATGGTACTGCTAGTCCCACTTTACGGATGAGGAAACTAAAGGCCAAGGAGTTATGAGTAACCTGTCCAGGGTCACACAGCTAGGAGCTGACAGAGCCGACAATGAACACAGGCATTACAGCTCCATCCCACATGTTTCACCACATGGTGGGAACGATTTCCCATTCTTTATGTTTTATTTCTCCCAGTTGGTAGTCCTGGTTACCTTACAAATGCTTGTCTGAGAGATATGTTCTCCATTTTCCCCTTCTTCCCTCCTCTCTTTCCTTCCCTTTCCCTTCTCCCCTCATCTGCCGAACTTCTAGCTCGCTCACACAGCCTCTGTGTTGCCCCTCTGTGTGCCTTCTTGTCCAGCTGTCAGTGAAACACAGCTCTTGTTGCAGGCCACAATATTTTCCCGTGACTATCATTCTACCATTCTTCTTCCAGAAAAACATCTGCTGCGGCTGCCTTGACACCAATTGTCCACTGGGCTTTTGGCAGAGTCCAGGCTGACTCCGATAAGCTCCTCTAAGCTTTCCCAACCCCCAGGCCCAGACCCCTGTGGAGCTTTATGACTTTGGCTTTGCTGGCCCTTTCCCCGGTCATCTTTCTCCTTCCTGGGTCTCCAGTGTTATCTTTATTATTAAATATCATCCTCTTCACATTTTCCCTCTTTCCTTCCATTGTAAACACTTTTCACTTCATCTCACTTAACTCTCTTGTGGGTGGAGATTGCAATTTTCACTTCAATTTTCTTTCCTCATTGTTCAGAGGATCTTACATCTTAGCAAGTCTCTTATCTGACCAATTTAGCACTTTAGAATCTTAGATAATGTGTTACTGATGGGTTAGAGGGAAGTTATTTGAGCCCAGGTTAACCTATACCTTCCCTTCTAACAATGGTGTTTAGGTGTTTCTTGTTCCCTTGCTTCTTACACACACAATTAACTTGCCTCTTACACATACACACACACACACACATACGCGCTTTACAACTTTAAACCATTTTAGACTTAGGAATAAAATGTTCAGGCAGGATACTTTGGGGCTTAGCATAGTTAAATAGTTTGTTAACCAAGTTTATCTGTTTTGTGCAGGTAATATGTAGACATGAACAATAAAGTCAGAGGAGCTTTTGGAATGCTCAGAAAGTAGTCTTCCGCCCCCAGGGCATGACCATTTCTATGGAAGGGATTGCATCATTTACTCTTCAAGACCTGCAGGAGAAATTTTATTGCTCCAGGTCACTCGTCATTTTTCCCAGCCATATGTGGGAGGAGACCTACTAAATGGTTTCTTAATTACTTTTAGAATTCCAATTTGTATCTTATAACTCATCTCCAACCCCCAACTCCAGACTAACGACTGAAGGTATATGACATTCCTCTTTCTCCTTTTTACCCAGTGTTTGTGCTACTCAGTTCTCACCAAAGAAAAAAACAGTATTCCCTTCAATGCTGACCCACAGAGTGGTGATTTAACCAGGAAGAATTGAGGAGACTATTAAAACAGTCACATACAAATTTTAAAAACACGGGGTTTTTAATTTTTTCCAGCCATGTTCAACAGAAAATTTTTACTCTTTATCCAGAAAAGTAATATCATCATATACAGGTAAAAGAACATTTTCTCTTCAATACCCTGCCCTATGAGCCAATAAAA